CTACCAGAGTTAAGAACAGCGGCCGCCAGAGTTAAGAACAGTGGCCGCCAGAGTTAAGAACAGCGGCCGCCAGAGTTATGAACAGTGGCCGCCAGAGTTATGAACAGTGGCCTCCAGAGTTAAGAACAGTGGCCGCCAGAGTTATGAACAGTGGCCTCCAGAGTTAAGAACAGTGGCCGCCAGAGTTAAGAACAGCGGCTACCAGAGTTAAGAACAGCTGCCGCCAGAGTTAAGAACAGCGGCTACCAGAGTTAAGAACAGTGGCCGCCAGAGTTAAGAACAGTGGCCGCCAGAGTTATGAACAGTGGCCGCCAGAGTTATGAACAGTGGCCGCCAGAGTTAAGAACAGTGGCCTCCAGAGTTATGAACAGTGGCCGCCAGAGTTATGAACAGTGGCCTCCAGAGTTATGAACAGTAGCCGCCAGAGTTATGAACAGTGGCCTTCAGAGTTATGAACAGTAGCCGCCAGAGTTATGAACAGTGGCCGCCAGAGTTATGAACAGTGGCCTCCAGAGTTATGAACAGTTGCCGCCAGAGTTATGAACAGTGGCCGCCAGAGTTATGAACAGTGGCCGCCAGAGTTATGAACAGTGGCCGCCAGAGTTAAGAACAGTGGCCGCCAGAGTTATGAACAGTGGCCGCCAGAGTTAAGAACAGTGGCCGCCAGAGTTAAGAACAGCGGCCGCCAGAGTTATGAACAGTGGCCGCCAGAGTTAAGAACAGCGGCCGCCAGAGTTATGAACAGTGGCCGCCAGAGTTAAGAACAGTGGCCGCCAGAGTTATGAACAGTGGCCGCCAGAGTTATGAACATTGGCCGCCAGTGTTAAGAACAGCGGCCGCCAGAGTCAAGAACAGCGGCCGCCAGAGTTAAAAACAGCGGCTACCAGAGTTAAGAACAGCGGCCGCCAGTGTTAAGAACAGCGGCCGCCAGAGTCAAGAACAGCTGCCGCCAGAGTTAAGAACAGCGGCTACCAGAGTTAAGAACAGCGGCCGCCAGTGTTAAGAACAGTGGCCGCCAGAGTTAAGAACAGTGGCCGCCAGAGTTAAGAAGAGTGGCCGCCAGTGTTAAGAACAGTGGCCGCCAGTGTTAAGAACAGTGGCCGCCAGGGTTAAGAACAGTGGCCGCCAGTGTTAAGAACAGTGGCCGCCAGTGTTAAGAACAGTGGCCGCCAGTGTTAAGAACAGTGGCCGCCAGTGTTAAGAACAGCTGCCGCCAGAGTCAAGAACAGCTGCCGCCAGAGTCAAGAACAGCTGCCGCCAGAGTTAAGAACAGTGGCCGCCAGTGTTAAGAACAGCTGCCGCCAGAGTCAAGAACAGCTGCCGCCAGAGTTAAGAACAGCGGCTACCAGAGTTAAGAGCAGCGGCTACCAGAGTTAAGAACTGTGGCCGCCAGAGTTAAGAACAGCTGCTGCCAGAGTTAAGAACAGCGGCTACTAGAGTTAAGAACAGCTGCCGCTAGAGTTAAGAACAGTGGCCACTAGAGTTAAGAACAGCGGCTACCAGAGTTAAGAACAGCTGCCGCCAGAGTTAAGAACAGTGGCCACTAGAGTTAAGAACAGCGGCTACCAGAGTTAAGAACGGCTGCCGCCAGAGTTAAGAACAGCGGCTATCTTGAGGTTATCTTGAGATGATTTCGGGGCTTTAGTGTCCCCGCGGCCCGGTCCTCGACCAGGCCTCCACCCCCAGGAAGCAGCCCGTGACAGCTGACTAACTCCCAGGTACCTATTTACTGCTAGGTAACAGGGGCATTGAGGGTGAAAGAAACTTTTGCCCATTTGTTTCTGCCTCGTGCGGGAATCGAACCCGCGCCACAGAATTACGAGTCCTGCGCGCTATCCACCAGGCTACGAGGCCCCCTAACCAGGCTACGAGGCCCCCTCCAGACTTAAGAACAGCGGCTACCAGAGTTAAGAACAGCTGCCGCCAGAGTTAAGAACAGCTGCCGCCAGAGTTTAGAACAGCAGCCGCCAGTGTTAAGAACAGCGGCCGCCAGAGTTAAGAACAGCTGCCGCCAGAGTTAAGAACAGCGGCTACCAGAGTTAAGAACAGCGGCCGCCAGATTTAAGAACAGCGGCCGCCAGAGTTAAGAACAGCGGCCGCCAGAGTTAAGAACAGCGGCTACCAGAGTTAAGAACCGTGGACGCCAGTGTTAAGAACAGCTGCCGCCAGAGTTAAGAACAGCGGCCACCAGAGTTAAGAACAGCGGCCGTCAGAGTTAAGAACAGCGGCAGGTTTTCAGTAAGACTCTATAGCACTGCTTTAGAGTCAGTGCAGATTACTGTACCGTTAGTGCTTCGTTCAAGGAATCTTAACGCCATAACAGTGGCAGTTAGCTCCGCTTGTGTTGAAGAAGCAAAGTTCTCAATACGGGCTTTTCCTTCTTTTCTGCGTTGTAAAGCATTATTCCTATTTAAAGTGTATGCTGCACCAGCCCTGCCATTGTCAGGGGTAGATGACCCATCAGTGTAGATTTGATCTAACTAATCTTCGACTTGTTTATAGACTTCCTCCAGATAATTGAGCCTCATTTCTAGAGTTATCATGTTAGACTTTTTCGTTGCCATTTCATTGATGATGATTCTGCATGAGTCATCCACTCTGGGAGGTAACCTCTCTACAGGCAGGAGCTCACGGGCTTGTTCAAGCAGGTGAAGTTCTTCCAGGTAGCACACTGATCTCTGATGCCATTTCATGCATCAGTTTCCCCCTGAAAGTTGCACAGAACTCAGTTTTATCTTTTCAATATCATTATAATGGGGATCTCTGGCTATCTTAATTGCAAGCCGAGCATTTTTTGTTACACACCCCCAGGAAGCAGCACGTAGCAGCTGTAACTCCCAGGTACCTATTTACTGTTAGGTCAACAGGAGCATCCGGGTGAAAGAAACTGCTCATTTGTTTCCGCTTCCACCGTGGATCGAACCCGGAACCTCAGGACTAAGAATCCAAAGCGCTGTCCACTCAGCTGTCAGGCCCCTCCCAGAGTCCATCACCTGCACGGGTCGTCCCAGGCAGGAATGTCCACGTCACTCCCTCCACCAGTCTACCAACTTGCGGAGAGGCAAATGGGTGAGAAGGGGAGGAGGAGGCAAGGCAAACAAGAGGGGAAAATGGGGAGCCAACTGGGATGAAGAAATGGGAGGAATTAGACATTCTTAACGGTTTGCAACGGAAGCTAGATGCTTCCACAAGAGTACTTACCACTAATGGCCGCGGGGGTGTCCCAGCATCACGGTGGGGGCGAGGCAGCGTGGGTGTCCCAGCAGCAGGGTGGGGGCGAGGCAGCGTGGGTGTCCCAGCAGCAGGGTGGGGGCGAGGCAGCGTGGGTGTCCCAGCATCACGGTGGGGGCGAGGCAGCGTGGGTGTCCCAGCAGCAGGGTGGGGGCGAGGCAGCGTGGGTGTCCCAGCAGCAGGGTGGGGGCGAGGCAGCGTGGGTGTACCAGCATCAGGGTGGGGGCGAGGCAACGTGGGTGTCCCAGCAGCAGGGTGGGGGCGAGGCAGCGTGGGTGTCCCAGCAGCAGGGTGGGGGCGAGGCAGCGTGGGTGTCCCAGCATCACGGTGGGGGCGAGGCAGCGTGGGTGTCCCAGCAGCAGGGTGGGGGCGAGGCAGCGTGGGTGACCCAGCATCAGGGTGGAGGCGAGGCAGCGTGGGTGTCCCAGCAGCAGGGTGGGGGCGAGGCAGCGTGGGTGTCCCAGCATCAGGGTGGGGGCGAGGCAGCGTGGGTGTCCCAGCATCACGGTGGGGGCGAGGCAGCGTGGGTGTCCCAGCAGCAGGGTGGGGGCGAGGCAGCGTGGGTGACCCAGCATCAGGGTGGAGGCGAGGCAGCGTGGGTGTCCCAGCAGCAGGGTGGGGGCGAGGCAGCGTGGGTGTCCCAGCATCAGGGTGGTGGCGAGGCAGCGTGGGTGTCCCAGCAGCAGGGTGGGGGCGAGGCAGCGTGGGTGTCCCAGCATCAGGGTGGAGGCGAGGCAGCGTGGGTGTCCCAGCAGCAGGGTGGGGGAGAGGCAGCGTGGGTGTCCCAGCATCAGGGTGGGGGCGAGGCAGCGTGGGTGTCCCAGCAGCAGGGTGGGGGCGAGGCAGCGTGGGTGTCCCAGCATCAGGGTGGAGGCGAGGCAGCGTGGGTGTCCCAGCATCAGGGTGGGGGCGAGGCAGCGTGGGTGACCCAGCAGTAGGGTGGGGGCGAGGCAGCGTGGGTGACCCAGCATCAGGGTGGGGGCGAGGCAGCGGGGGTGTCCCAGCAGCAGGGTGGGGGAGAGGCAGCGTGGGTGTCCCAGCATCAGGGTGGGGGCGAGGCAGCGTGGGTGTCCCAGCATCAGGGTGGGGGCGAGGCAGCGTGGGTGTCCCAGCATCAGGGTGGAGGCGAGGCAGCGTGGGTGTCCCAGCAGTAGGGTGGGGGCGAGGCAGCGTGGGTGTCCCAGCAGCAGGGTGGGGGCGAGGCAGCGTGGGTGTCCCAGCATCAGGGTGGAGGCGAGGCAGCGTGGGTGTCCCAGCAGCAGGGTGGGGGCGGGGCAGCGTGGGTGTCCCAGCATCAGGGTGGGGGAGAGGCAGCGTGGGTGTCCCAGCATCAGGGTGGGGGCGAGGCAGCGTGGGTGTCCCAGCATCAGGGTGGGGGAGAGGCAGCGTGGGTGTCCCAGCAGCAGGGTGGGGGAGAGGCAGCGTGGGTGTCCCAGCAGCAGGGTGGAGGCGAGGCAGCGTGGGTGTCCCAGCAGCAGGGTGGGGGTGAGGCAGCGTGGGTGTCCCAGCAGCAGGGTGGGGGCGAGGCAGCGTGGGTGTCCCAGCAGCAGGGTGGGGGCGAGGCAGCGTGGGTGTCCCAGCAGCAGGGTGGGGGCGAGGCAGCGTGGGTGTCCCAGCAGCAGGGTGGGGGTGAGGCAGCGTGGGTGTCCCAGCAGCAGGGTGGGGGCGAGGCAGCGTGGGTGTCCCAGCAGCAGGGTGGGGGCGAGGCAGCGTGGGTGTCCCAGCAGCAGGGTGGGGGCGAGGCAGCTTCCTCAGCCACCACTCCACACGGCCACGCCCCATCAGCCTCGCCACGTCCAGAGGTGTGTATCTCTCCATGTTCCTGGCGCGAGGGTCGAGGCCGGCCGCCACCAAGCACTGAGTTGCCTCCAGACCTCCGCCCCACGCTGCCAGGTGTAGTGCTGTCTCCCCGCGCTTGTCTACAGCGTGACGGTCACACCCGGCAGCTGTCAGCAGCACCTGCACAACACCTGTGTGGTTACCTACGGCAGCATAGTGCAGTGGTGACCGACCATCGTCGTCCCGAGAGTCAGGGTCAGCGCCGGCACCAAGTAGCGTCACCACACACGACTCATGACCATGCAGCGCTGCCGCATGTAGTGCGGTCACACCTGTAACACCGGTTATGTTGAGGCTTACACACAACATACACAAACATGCTTAGAACATTATAATACAACATACTGCAGCATGTGTTGTGGTTCTCACCATTACGACCCCTGGCCTGCAGGTCAGCCTGGGCGCTGAGCAGCTGCCTCACCACCTGGTCATGACCCCTGACAGCCGCCCTCTGTAAAGGTGTGTAGAAGAACTCCCCTGAACCCTCCACAGGGAGTCCCGCCGCCAGCAGGTGAGGCACCAGGTGAGTGTGACCCCTCGCAGCCGCCACGCTCAACATGCAGCGTGACACTTGGGTAATACGGTCCACCACCGTGACGGAGGTGTCAGCACCCTGGGCGAGGGCGGCCAACACCAGCACCTGGTCACCACTAGCGACTCCCGCCACCAGGGCCTGCAGGATGACAATGGTCACTGATAACGGTAACGGTAAGGGAAGGGGGAACTATCAGGGGAAAGCGCCAAGCCATTACGACTATGTAGCACTGGGAGGGGGTCAGGATTTGGGAAGGTATGGGGGGGGGGGAGTAATGATGCTCAATAACTTGGATGGTCGGAGATTGAACACAGACCTGCATGAAGCAAGACCGTCGCCCGACCGTCCAGCCCAAGTGGTTGGGTAACGGTGTAGGAGATAAAGAGATTAACCAATTAAACACATTACCATTAATTAACAACCTAACGACAAACTTCATGACTCGAGCCAAAGAAATAAAGCAACCTAGACAATAATAATCTTGACAGCCAGTTAACAGTTACATTAAAAGCTCGTTCAGTCTACGACCACCTTAAGCAACAACCACCAACCAAGTGGCCACTTTATGCATCAGACCAGTCAGCAACAGTCAAAGTCAGCAACAGTCAAAGTCAGCAACAGTCAAAGTCAGCAACAGACAAAGTCAGCAACAGTCAAAGTCAGCAACAGTCAAAGTCAGCAACAGTCAAAGTCAGCAACAGTCAAAGTCAGCAACAGTCAAAGTCAGCAACAGTCAAAGTCAGCAACAGTCAAAGTCAGCAACAGTCAAAGTCAGCAACAGTCAAAGTCAGCAGCAGTCACAGTCAGCAAAGTCAGCAACAGTCAACTGTAGTCAGCAACAGTCAAAGTCAGCAACAGTCAAAGCATTACGCTACTGTAGTCCAGGCGGAGGCATCACATGGCTACTGTAGTCCAGGCGGATGGCTGTATCACATGGCTACTGTAGTGGCATCACATGGCTACTGTAGTCCAGGCGGAGCATCACATGGCTACTGTAGTCCAGGCGGAGCATCATCCATGGCTACTGTAGTCCAGGCGGAGCATCACATGGCTACTGTAGTCCAGGCGGAGCATCACATGGCTACTGTAGTCCAGGCGGAGCATCACATAGCTACTGTAGTCCAGGCGGAGCATCACATGGCTACTGTAGTCCAGGCGGAGCATCACATGGCTACTGTAGTCCAGTCCAGGTCCAGGCGGGGCATCACATGGCTACTGTAGTCCAGGTGGAGCATCACATGGCTACTGTAGTCCAGGCGGAGCATCACATGGCTACTGTAGTCCAGGCAGGGCATCACATGGCTACTGTAGTCCAGGCAGAGCATCACATGGCTACTGTAGTCCAGGCGGAGCATCACATGGCTACTGTAGTCCAGGCAGGGCATCACATGGCTACTGTAGTCCAGGCGGAGCATCACATGGCTACTGTAGTCCAGGCGGAGCATCACATGGCTACTGTAGTCCAGGCGGAGCATCACATGGCTACTGTAGTCCAGGCAGGGCATCACATGGCTACTGTAGTCCAGGCGGAGCATCACATGGCTACTGTAGTCCAGGCGGAGCATCACATGGCTACTGTAGTCCAGGCGGAGCATCACATGGCTACTGTAGTCCAGGCGGAGCATCACATGGCTACTGTAGTCCAGGCAGGGCATCACATGGCTACTGTAGTCCAGGCGGAGCATCACATGGCTACTGTAGTCCAGGCAGGGCATCACATGGCTACTGTAGTCCAGGCGGAGCATCACATGGCTACTGTAGTCCAGGCATGGCTACTGGGAGCATCACATGGCTAGTAGCAGGCAGCATCACATGGCTACTGTAGTCCAGGCGGGAGCATCACATGGCTACTGTAGTCCAGGGGAGCATCACATGGCTACTGTAGTAGCATCACCTACTGTGTAGTCCAGGAGCATCACATGGCTACTGTAGTCCAGGCGGAGCATCACATGGCTACTGTAGTCCAGGCGGAGCATCACATGGCTACTGTGTAGTCCAGGCGGGGCATCACATGGCTACTGTAGTAGCATCACATGGCTACTGTAGTCCAGGCAGGGCATCACATGGCTACTGTAGTCCATGGCTACTGTAGGGCATCACAGGGCTACTGTAGTCCAGGCGGGGCATCACATGGCTACTGTAGTCCAGGCGGAGCATCACATGGCTACTGTAGTCCAGGCGGAGCATCACATGGCTACTGTAGTCCAGGCTGTAGGAGCATCACATGGCTACTGTAGTCCAGGCGGAGCATCACATGGCTACTGTAGTCCAGGCGGAGCATCACATGGCTACTGTAGTCCAGGCGGAGCATCACATGGCTACTGTAGTCCAGGCGGAGCATCACATGGCTACAGTCCAGGCATGGCTACTGTAGTCCAGGCGGAGCATCACATGGCTACTGTAGTCCAGGCGGAGCATCACATGGCTACTGTAGTCCAGGCGGAGCATCACATGGCTACTGTAGTCCAGGCGGAGCATCACATGGCTACTGTAGTCCAGGCGGAGCATCACATGGCTACTGTAGTCCAGGCGGAGCATCACATGGCTACTGTAGTCCAGGCGGAGCATCACATGGCTACTGTAGTCCAGGCAGGGCATCACATGGCTACTGTAGTCCAGGCGGAGCATCACATGGCTACTGTAGTCCAGGCGGAGCATCACATGGCTACTGTAGTCCAGGCAGGGCATCACATGGCTACTGTAGTCCAGGCGGAGCATCACATGGCTACTGTAGTCCAGGCGGAGCATCACATGGCTACTGTAGTCCAGGCAGGGCATCACAGCTACTGTAGTCCAGGCGGAGCATCACATGGCTACTGTAGTCCAGGCGGAGCATCACATGGCTACTGTAGTCCAGGCGGAGCATCACATGGCTACTGTGTAGTCACCTACTGGCGGAGCATCACATGGCTACTGTAGTCCAGGCGGGAGCATCACATGGCTACTGTAGTAGTCCAGGCGGTCCAGCATCACATGGCTACTGTAGTCCAGGCGGGGCATCACATGGCTACTGTAGTCCAGGCGGAGCATCACATGGCTACTGTAGTCCAGGCGGGAGCATCACATGGCTACTGTAGTCCAGGCGGAGCATCACATGGCTACTGTAGTCCAGGCGGGAGCTTCACATGGCTACTGTAGTCCAGGCGGAGCATCACATGGCTACTGTAGTCCAGGCGGAGCATCACATGGCTACTGTAGTCCAGGCGGAGCATCACATGGCTACTGTAGTCCAGGCCGGAGCATCACATGGCTACTGTAGTCCAGGCGGAGCATCACATGGCTACTGTAGTCCAGGCGGAGCATCACATGGCTACTGTAGTCCAGGCGGAGCATCACATGGCTACTGTAGTGCATCACATGGCTACTGTAGTCCAGGCGGAGCATCACATGGCTACTGTAGTCCAGGCGGAGCATCACATGGCTACTGTAGTCCAGGCGGAGCATCACATGGCTACTGTAGTCCAGGCGGAGCATCACATGGCTACTGTAGTCCAGGCGGAGCATCACATGGCTACTGTAGTCCAGGCGGAGCATCACATGGCTACTGTAGTCCAGGCGGAGCATCACATGGCTACTGTAGTCCAGGCGGAGCATCACATGGCTACTGTAGTCCAGGCGGAGCATCACATGGCTACTGTAGTCCAGGCGGAGCATCACATGGCTACTGTAGTCCAGGCGGGAGCATCACATGGCTACTGTAGTCCAGGCGGGAGCATCACATGGCTACTGTAGTCCAGGCGGGAGCATCACATGGCTACTGTAGTCCAGGCAGGGCATCACATGGCTACTGTAGTCCAGGCGGAGCATCACATGGCTACTGTAGTCCAGGCGGAGCATCACATGGCTACTGTAGTCCAGGCGGAGCATCACATGGCTACTGTAGTCCAGGCGGGAGCATCACATGGCTACTGTAGTCCAGGCAGGGCATCACATGGCTACTGTAGTCCAGGCGGAGCATCACATGGCTACTGTAGTCCAGGCGGAGCATCACATGGCTACTGTAGTCATCACATGGCAGGCAGGGGAGCATCACATGGCTACTGTAGTCCAGGCTGTAGTCCAGGAGCATCACATGGCTACTGTAGTCCAGGCGGAGCATCACATGGCTACTGTAGTCCAGGCGGAGCATCACATGGCTACTGTAGTCCAGGCGGAGCATCACATGGCTACTGTAGTCCAGGCGGGAGCATCACATGGCTACTGTAGTCCAGGCGGAGCATCACATGGCTACTGTAGTCCAGGCGGAGCATCACATGGCTACTGTAGTCCAGGCGGAGCATCACATGGCTACTGTAGTCCAGGCGGAGCATCACATGGCTACTGTAGTCCAGGCGGGAGCATCACATGGCTACTGTAGTCCAGGCGGAGCATCACATGGCTACTGTAGTCCAGGCGGAGCATCACATGGCTACTGTAGTCCAGGCGGAGCATCACATGGCTACTGTAGTCCAGGCGGAGCATCACATGGCTACTGTAGTCCAGGCATCACATGGCTACTGGGCATCACATGGCTACTGTAGAGGCGGAGCATCACATGGCTACTGTAGTCCAGGCGGAGCATCACATGGCTACAGTCCAGGCGGAGCATCACATGGCTACTGTAGTCCAGGCGGAGCATCACATGGCTACTGTAGTCCAGGCGGAGCATCACATGGCTACTGTAGTCCAGGCGGAGCATCACATGGCTACTGTAGTCCAGGTGGAGCATCACATGGCTACTGTAGTCCAGGCGGAGCATCACATGGCTACTGTAGTCCAGGTGGAGCATCACATGGCTACTGTAGTCCAGGCGGAGCATCACATGGCTACTGTAGTCCAGGCGGGAGCATCACATGGCTACTGTAGTCCAGGCGGGAGCATCACATGGCTACTGTAGTCCAGGCGGAGCATCACATGGCTACTGTAGTCCAGGCGGAGCATCACATGGCTACTGTAGTCCAGGCGGAGCATCACATGGCTACTGTAGTCCAGGCGGAGCATCACATGGCTACTGTAGTCCAGGCGGAGCATCACATGGCTACTGTAGTCCAGGCGGAGCATCACATGGCTACTGTAGTCCAGGCGGAGCATCACATGGCTACTGTAGTCCAGGCGGAGCATCACATGGCTACTGTAGTCCAGGCGGAGCATCACATGGC